CCAGCCCTCATGTACGCCAGCATCTTTGGCAACGTGTCTGCCATCATCCAGCGCCTGTACTCTGGCACCGCGCGCTTCCACACGCAGATGCTGCGTCCCTCGGACGCTGACGGCCCCCTCCACCCCGCCCCAGCCCTCATGTACGCCAGCATCTTTGGCAACGTGTCGGCCATCATCCAGCGCCTGTACTCGGGCACCGCCCGCTACCACACGCAGATGCTGCGGGTGCGCGAGTTCATCCGCTTCCACCAGATCCCCAACCCGCTGCGCCAGCGCCTGGAGGAGTACTTCCAGCACGCCTGGTCCTACACCAACGGCATCGACATGAACGCGGTGAGCGCCCCGGGGCCTGGGCTGGGCTCGCCAGCCGCGGGGCGGGGTCCTGGGAGGGTCCCGCCTCCGACAGCCGAGGTTGGCATCTCGGCCCAGGGCTCGGCGCCGGGAGGGCCCTGGCCTGGGCATGCGCTTTTCCACTCCGGACTGGCTGGGGCTCTGCACCTTCCCGATAAGAAAATCCAGAGCCCCCCGGGGCGCGGCTGGAGTGGCTGGGCCGGAGGCCCCAGTCCTTGCCCTGGGCCCCGATGCCCCACCCAGGGGAGAAGCTGTGCTGAGCGCCCGCCGCCCTGCAGGTGCTGAAGGGCTTCCCCGAGTGTCTGCAGGCCGACATCTGCCTGCACCTGAACCGCTCGCTGCTGCAGCACTGCAAGCCCTTCCGGGGGGCCACCAAGGGCTGCCTGCGCGCGCTGGCCATGAAGTTCAAGACCACACACGCGCCGCCGGGGGACACGCTGGTGCACGCAGGAGACCTCCTCACCGCCCTCTACTTCATCTCCCGGGGCTCCATCGAGATCCTGCGGGGCGACGTGGTTGTGGCCATCCTGGGTACGCGGGGTGGGGCGCTGGGCCGGAGCCCCGCAGGGCCTGGAGCCGTCCTGGACCCAGAGGATGCAGTCGGGGGCTGTGGCCCCTGGGTGGCCGGCGCAGGCCTGCAAGGAGGGAGTGGAGAAGTGCTGGACTCTGGGTCCCCGGATTCCGCCTCCCTTTGGGATCTCCCCGGGGTGATGACACCCCTGCGTCTGCCTGTACTAGGGACATGTCCTCAGTCCTTACGGCCGAGCCGGGCCCCCGGTGTCCACGCCGAGGGAGACCTGTCCCCCTTCCATCCCTTCCTGCCTACCTGGCTCCCGTGGGCAGCGCCGCTGCTTGGCCCTGATGTACTGGGGTCCTCTTTTTTTTTTTTTTTTT